TTAAGCACTAAGGCCCAATGGGGTGTAGTATATGGCCAATATACCACGGCTAAGGGCTGTATCCATGCACGACGCAACGCGTGCATGGATTAATCAACAGGAAAACGCTCATCCAGATGCAGCGCTCCTAGTGGCCGGGGACTTTAATGCAGGGAAACTTAAATCCGTTCTACCTAATTTCTACCAGCATGTTAAATGTGCAACCAGAGGAAAAAAAACTCTAGACCACCTTTACTCCACACACAGAGACGCATACAAAGCTCTCCCTCGCCCTCCATTTGGCAAATCTGACCATAACTCTATCCTCCTGATTCCTGCTTATAAGCAAAAACTAAAGCAGGAAGCACCAGTGACTCGGTTAATAAAAAAGTGGTCAGATGACGCAGATGCTAAGCTACAGGACTGTTTTGCTAGCACAGACTGGAACATGTTCCGGGATTCTTCAGACAGCATTGAGGAGTACACCACATCAGTCACTGGCTTCATCAATAAGTGCATCGATGATGTCGTCCCCATAGTGACCGTACGTACATACCCCAACCAGAAGCCATGGATTACAGGAAACATCCGCACTGAGCTAAAGGGTAGAGCTGCCGCTTTCAAGGAACGGGACTCTAACCCGGACGCTTATAAGAAATCCCGCTATGACCTCCGACGAACCATCAAACAGGCAAAGAGTCAATACAGGACTAAGATTGAATCGTACTACACTGGCTCTGACGCTCGTCGGATGTGGCAGGGCTTGAAAACTATTACAGACTACAAAGGGAAGCACAGCCGCGAGCTGCCCAGTGACACAAGCCTACCAGACGAGCTAAACCACTTCTATGCTCGCTTCGAGGCAAGCAACACTGAAGCATGCATGAGAGCACCAGCTGTTCCGGATGACTATGTGATCACGCTCTCCGTAGCCGATGTGAGTAAGACTTTTAAGCAGGTCAACATTCACAAGGCCGCAGGGCCAGACGGATTACCAGGACGTGTACTCCGAGCATGTGCTGACCAACTGGCAAGTGTCTTCACTGACATTTTCAACATGTCCCTGACTGAGTCTGTAATACCAACATGTTTCAAGCAGACCACCATAGTCCCCGTGCCCAAGGACTCTAAGATAACCTGCCTAAATGACTACCGACCCGTAGCACTGACGTCTGTAGCCATGAAGTGCTTTGAAAGGCTGGTCATGGCTCACATCAACAGCATTATCCCAGAAACCCTAGACCCACTCCAATTTGCATACCGCCCCAACAGATCCACAGATGATGCAATCTCTATTGCACTCCACACTGCCCTTTCCCACCTGGACAAGAGGAACACCTACGTGAGAATGCTATTCATTGACTACAGCTCAGCATTCAAGACCATAGTGCCCTCTAAGATCATCACTAAGCTAAGGATCCTGGGACTAAACACCTCCCTCTGCAACTGGATCCTGGACTTCCTGACGGGCCGCCCCCAGGTGGTAAGGGTAGGTAACAACACATCTGCCACACTGATCCTCAACACGGGGGCCCCTCAGGGGTGCGTGCTCAGTCCCCTCCTGTACTCTCTGTTCACCCATGACTGCATGGCCAGGCACGACTCCAACACCATCATTAAGTTTGCCGACGACACAACAGTGGTAGGCCTGATCACCGACAACGATGAGACAGCCTATAGGGAGGAGGTCAGAGATCTGGCCGTGTGGTGCCAGGACAATAACCTCTCCCTCAACGTGACCAAGACAAAGGAGATGATTGTGGACTACAGGAAAAAAAAAGAGGACTGAGCACACCCCCATTCTCATCGACGGGGCTGTAGTGGAACAGGTTGAGAGCTTCAAGTTCCTTGGTGTCCACATCACCAACGAACTATCATGGTCCAAACACACCAAGACAGTCGTGAAGAGGGCACGACAAAGCCTATTCCCCCTCAGGAGACTGCAAAGATTTGGCATGGGTCCTCAGATCCTCAAAAAATTCTACAGCTGCACCATCGAGAGCATCCTGACTGGTTGCATCACCGCCTGGTATGGCAACTGCTTGGCCTCCGACCGCAAGGCACTACAGAGGGTAGTGCGTACGGCCCAGTACATCACTGGGGCAAAGCTTCCTGCCATCCAGGACCTCTATACCAGGCGGTGTCAGAGGAAGGCCCTCAAAATTGTCAAAGACTCCAGCCACCCTAGTCATAGACTGTTCTCTCTGCTACCGCACGGCAAGCGGTACCGGAGTGCCAAGTCTAGGTCCAAAAGACTTCTCAACAGCTTCTACCCCCAAGCCATAAGACTCCTGAACAGCTAATCATGGCTACCCGGACTATTTGCACTGCCCCCCCACCCCATCCTTTCTACGCTGCTGCTACTCTGTTAAGTATTTATGCATAGTCACTTTAACTCTACCCACATGTACATATTACCTCAACTACCTTAACTAGCCGGTGCCCCCCGCACATTGACTCTGCAACGGTACCCCCCTGTATATATAGCCTCCCTACTGTCACTTTATTTTACTTCTGCTCTTTTTGTTCCTCAACACTTTTTTTTTGTTGTTTTATTTTTACTTTTTTTTGTTTAAAATAAATGCACTGTTGGTTAAGGGCTGTAAGTAAGCATTTCACTGTAATGTCTGCACCTGTTGTATTCGGCGCATGTGACCAATAAAATTTGATTTGATTTGATTTGATATACCACAAACCCCTGAGGTGCCTTATTGCTATTATAAACTGGTTGCCAACGTAATTAGAGCAGTAAAAATGTATGTTTTGTCATACCCGTGGTATACATACCACGGCTGTCAGCCAATCAGCATTTAGGGCTCGAACCATCCAGTTTATAAGATAGAATGGAACACTCAACTTCCTCCCTTCCTACACAGTACACCATTCATTTTACACACCATTGCATGTCATTACATTAACATAAACCATTATGCAACCCTGTTGATTTGACAGTGTTGTGACATGATTAGGGCTGTTACGGTGACCGTATTACCGACACACCGGCAGTCACAAGTCATGACCACAGTCAAATTCCACATAACCGTTGAGTCACAGTAACTAGGCTTCTCCAAAACTGCGCTCTGATGGTCATTAGTAGCCTACCAAACTTGCTAACGGCCAGTCGCTAATGTACAGTATTTTCCCTCTAATCACTCTGACATCAATGCAAATGGCATCGAAAATCTAATCAAATACTTAATGAGAGCCCTGGCATTCAGAGTTTGAGTAGAATAGGATCACCTGTCGCGCAGCAAGAGCCAGCTCCTCATAGCTGGTTGATGCATGGAATGAAATAAGTGTTCCTGTAAGCCCATGTTGCACAACATTTCTATAGGCTATGCTATGCTATGCTATGCTATGCAATTGCGTGAGAAAACAGTGTTTTGATGGTCTATTAAAAAGAGGAAGATCCCATCAGCTTTCTATAGGCTAGGCCTACTATATTTATTTCTCAACATACCTAATATTAAGCACATTGCTTCTCTTTACAACCGGAGTAGCCTACCTGGCTGGCATGAAAATGAACCGAGGGAAAAGCGTCCTCCATTTGCTATTAAAGTGCATATGAATTACATGTCTTTTTTTACCCTGCTCCTGTTCCAACAGGTGCATGATAATGGCCCATTCTAAATCAAAACTAATTTCACACATATATTATTTAGTATATATAAAGACAAGATTACATTGAGAATAGTCTGATGGGTGACAATATTATCACTTGTGTGCAGTCTAAGGCATTTTTTTGTCACTTTCTCCAAATGATAGTCGCATGCATCATGTAGCCTAGCCCATAGGCCTATATGTTTTGAAAAGGTTTTGTATCACAATGCCTATAGGCCCAAGACCCCTGGAACACAGTTAGAGAGCACATAGCCTACGGAGCCTAGTGAAACACGTGTTCTTATAAGCCCTGTCAATGCGCAATCGTGTGTGAAAACAGAGTTTTGACTGGCCACTATTTAAAAGAGGATCCCAGCTTTCTCATGCTGCTATATTTATTGCTCAATTCTTAAAATTTAGCCCATTAATCCGCTTTACAAACAGTGTAGCTTACCTGGCATATTAAAAATTAAACGCACTAACCTCCATTCGAGTGCAGGCTACGATTACATTTTGCTTCTCCTCACATTTATTAGTAGGCTATATGTAAAGACCTGATTAAATTGAGAATAGTCTGATGGGTGAGAATATTATCAAGTGCTTGTCAAATTGTGAATGAGAGACTGATTAAGTGTGTGCGGTCTGTGCAAGAAACAGAACCGAGTGCTTGCCTTTCATGCAACTTTTTTCAAATCAGCATCAGTCGCATCATGCAGCCTTAGAATGTATTAGAAATCAAAACATCAAGCTTAACGTTTGTATCTCAACTAAAGTTGGATAAATTACACTAAATTAAGCATATACGAGGACCTGTTTCTTTGTTAACTGCTCAACACAGAATAGCCGCATTTGCACACTCCATCAGAAATCGTTTGGGAAAAATATCCTTTCTATTTTATTCAGCTTTGTTCAATTGTATTGTTCTTCCTATAAAATAATGCCACTGGAACTAAGCAAATCTTGTCTGCTAAATGAACTAGTGTAGCCCACAGCCATATGGCATAGTCAGATCAGGCCCGAACATAAGGATGACTCAGAATACGCTATTCTGTTCTTCTGAAATAGGCTACATTTTCTTCATATCATGTTTGCATAGACTTACCTAAAAAAAATAATGGCATTATTGTGATGGTGTAGGCTATATTAAATGGATTTATTCAACTTTTTTAAATGTAGATGTTCCAAAAGGTCCACATCAGTGGCTTGTGGGCTATGGGTGGAAGCCAGAGACGCAAAACGTGTTTATGTTAATTGACGGACAATTACCATGAGACACACTGTTATTTGCATGACAATCACCGGCTGACAAAATTTCATGATCGCCACAGCCCTAAATGTTGTTGTATAATTCCCAACTAATGTCATAGCACTGTAGAGGAGTCCAAAACTAATCAAGATCATGTAAAGTGTGATATGTCTTAAAGGATACTCTTATGATCCAGCACCACATTGATATGTCCCAGGTGCAGGCCATTGACAGTGGAGGTGCTCTGGTCCAGACTAGCCACGGCCAGCTCTGGGTTTCCATCAGGCCCTGCCACACTGTTCTGGAGGTGCAGCTCATACTGGTCACAGGGCATAGATAACTCTGGAACACAACAGAACTAACCTGGGTTAGCTCTTTATAATAAAAACCCATCTCCATCATTTACTTCATACACTTGTAACATGCCACCCTGAGCTGTGATATGAATATCATCTAACAATTTTTGGTACATGTGATTCAATACGTAATTTATTGTTAGTTTGCTTGACTGAGTAAGTTCAGACCCACCTGCGATCTTTCCCTGCCTGATCTTCTGGACCTTGTATTGGATGGATGTGCCCACCAGCAGGTAGACATCATGTGCAGGGCTCAGTAGGATATTCTCCAGAATCAGCAGTTTCACCTCTGCTGCACCGACATCCTGTGTGAAGGGTAGATACCATAGTTACGGCACAGCAAACGACACATGCCGTTTGACACGTCGAGAAACCAGAACAACTCGGTTACAGTATGATTCACACGCCATCAATAGCTCCCAACACTCCATCATGTACAAAACGACTTTAAATGTTTTGTATATACAGTGAGGGAAAAAAGTATTTGATCCCCTGCTGATTTTGTACGTTTGTCCACTGAAAAAGAAATGATCATTCTATAATTTTAATGGTAGGTTTATTTGAACAGTGAGAGACAGAATAACACCAAAATAATGCAGAAAAACGCATGTCAAAAATGTTATAAATTGATTTGCATTTTAATGAGGGAAATAAATATTTGACCCCCTCTCAATCAGAAAGATTGAAGATTAGATTAGAAGCACACTCTTAAAGGGAGTGCTCCTAATCTCAGCTTGTTACCTGTATAAAAAGACACCTGTCCACAGAAGCAATCAATCAATCAGATTCCAAACTCTCCACCATGTCCAAGACCAAAGAGCTCTCCAAGGATGTCAGGGACAAAATTGTAGACCTACACAAGGCTGGAATGGGCTACAAGACCATCGCCAAGCAGCTTGGTGAGAAGGTGACAACAGTTGGTGCGATTATTCGCAAATGGAAGGAACACAAAAGAACTGTCAATCTCCCTCGGCCTGGGGCTCCATGCAAGATCTCACCTCGTGGAGTTGCAATGATCATGAGAACGGTGAGGAATCAGCCCAGAACTACACGGGAGGATATTGTCAATGATCTCAAGGCAGCTGGGACCATAGTCAACAAGAAAACAATTGGTAACACACTACACCGTGAAGGACTGAAATCCAGCAGCGCCCGCAAGGTCCCCCTGCTCAAGAAAGCACATATACAGGGCCGTCTGAAGTTTGCCAATGAACATCTGAATGATTCAGAGGAGAACTGGGTGAAAGTGTTGTGGTCAGATGAGACCAAAATGGAGCTCTTTGGCATCAACTCAACTCGCCGTGTTTGGAGGAGGAGGAATGCTGCCTATGACCCCAAGAACACCATCCCCACCGTCAAACATGGAGATGGAAACATTATGCTTTGGGGGTGTTTTTCTGCTAAGGGGACAGGACAACTTCACCGCATCAAAGGGACGATGGACAGGGCCATGTACCGTCAAATCTTGGGTGAGAACCTCCTTCCCTCAGCCAGGGCATTGAAAATGGGTTGTGGATGAGTGTTCCAGCATGACAATGACCCTGAACACATGGCCAAGGCAACAAAGGAGTGGCTCAAGAAGAAGCACATTATGGTCCTGGAGTGGCCTAGCCAGTTTCCAGACCTTAATCCCATAGAAAATCTGTGGAGCGAGCTGAAGGTTCGAGTTGCCAAACGTCAGGCTCGAAACCTTAATGACTTGGAGAAGCTCTACAAAGAGGAGTGGGACAAAATCCCTCCTGAGATGTGTGCAAACCTGGTTGCCAACTACAAGAAACGTCTGACCTCTGTGATTGCCAACAAGGGTTTTGCCACCAAGTACTAAGTCATGTTTTGCAGAGGGGTCAAATACTTATTTCCCTCGTTAAAATGCAAATCAATTTATAAAATTTTTGACATGCGTTTTTCTTGATTTATTTGTTGTTATTCTGTCTCTCACTGTTCAAATAAACCTACCATTAAAATTATAGACTGATCATTTTTGTCAGTGGGCAAACGTACAAAATCAGCAGGGGATCAAATACTTTTTTCCCCTCACTGTAATTGACTGTTGTACAATACACCCTTCAGTGGTACTGTAATCTCTCTCTGTAATCGAAATGAGGCCTACCCTATAACTGTGGAGTCTCATTTCACATCATCTTCTCTATCATACTATCCAGGTCTGTGCCCAAACAGCTTGAGCTTCTACTTCTAATAATCCACCTTTCCAGAAATAAGTCTCTCACTGTTGCCGCTTGCTACAGACACCCCTCAGCCCCCAGCTGTGCCCTGGACACCATATATGAATTGACTGCCCCCCCATCTAATTTCTACAAGCATTTTGCAACGGCTGGCATGCTTTCCACCTGGCTACCCCTACCCCGGCCACCAGCTCTGCACCCTCTGCTGCAACTTGTCCATGCCCACTGGTTTCTCAAATGACTGCCTCGCCTGGTTCACCAACTACTTCTCAGATAGAGTTCAATGTGTCAAATCGTGGGGCCTGTTGTCTGGACCTCTGGCAGTCTCTATGGGGGTGCCAGAGGGTTCAATTCTCGGGCCGACTCTATTCTCTGTGTATATCAATGATGTCGCTCTTGCTGCTGGTGACTCTCAGATCCACCTCTACGCAGACGACACCATTTTGTATATATCTGGCCCTTCATTGGACACTGTGTTAACAAACCTCCAAACGAGCTTCAATGCCATACAACACTCCTTCCGTAGCCTCCAACTGCTCTTAAACGCTAGTAAAACTAAATGCATGCTCTTCAATCGAACGCTGCTTGCAACCGCCCGCCAGACTAGAATCACTACTCTCGGCAGGTCTGACTTAGAATATGTGGACAACTACAAATACCTAGGTGTCTGGTTAGACCGTAAACTCTCCTTCCAGACTCACATTAAGCATCACCAATCCAAAGTTAAATCTAGAATCGGCTTCCTATTTCGCAACAAAGCCTCCTTCACTCATGCTGCCAAACATGCCCTCGTAAAACTGACTATCCTACCGATCCTTGACTTTGGCAATGTCATTTACAAAATAGCCTCCAACACTACTCAGCAAATTGGATGTAGACTATCACAGTGCCATCCGTTTTGTCACCAAAGCCCCATATACTACCCACCATTGTGACCTGTACGCTCTCGTTGGCTGGCCCTCACTACATATTCGTCGCCAAACCCACTGGCTCCAGGTCATCTATAAATCACTGCTAGGCAAATCCGCCTTATCTTAGCTCATTGGTCACCAACTACCTCATCCCCCAAATTGTTATTTATTTTGCTCATTTGCACCCCAGTATCTCTATTTGCACATCATCTTCTGCACATCTATCACTCCAGTGTTAATACTAAATTGTAATTATTTTGCACTATGGCCTATTTATTGCCTTACCTCCATAACTTACTACATTTGCACACACTGTAAATAGATTTTCTATTGTGTTTTTGACTGTACGTTTTGTTTATCCCATATGTAACTGTGTTGTTGTTGTTTTTATCGCACTGCTTTGCTTTATCTTGGCCAGGTCGCAGTTGTAAATGAGAACTTGTTCTCAACTGGCTTAGCTGGTTAAATAAAGGTGAAATAAAAATAAAAATGTCAGACGGGCTAGACAGGCTCTACTAGCTGTGACATCACAGATAAGGCTGGAGAGGAGACATCACTGTTCCGCAAGTCAAGATTGTTATGTATAGCAGTCTATGCCCCTGGAGGGCTGCTGGGATGAACGGATACTACTTCAACTAAGCTCAAGTTCTTATACCCCTCTGATGTTCCCTTCCCTCGCTTCTAAAAAGATACTTCTGATTTGAGGTCCTTAAGCCAGTATTTAATTATTAACTATACAGTGTGATAATCCAGCTACAGTCTACTTCAAAAACAAGGTAAGAGATTCAGGAAATGTTTTTAACAGAATACCTTATACAGAGATTCTTGTATTTTAGCCTTAAGCTTAGCGTGGCCCGTTTTCAGTCCTGACACCAAGATGATATCTCCCTGTTTCCCCACTTTCTCCATCTCAGAGATGTAACCAGGGGGGGTGTACGTAGACTCAGAGAATTTAAGAACCCTTGAGGGAGGGAAAGGGATTGGAAAACACATTACAGGCATATTATCGACAGTGACAAATGGACATATTACAATTAACCTCTACATACAGAAGTAATATGTTAGACCTGTGATAAGAACCTGAGGCCTATCCTAAGCTGTAGTTTAAAGGTCAATTCTGGCACAAGGCAAATCATAACCAAATGTATTTAAATAACCTGATAAGTCACAGGTAAGATTGAATTTGCATTGAATTGCCATCCTTAAACCAGTTCTTGTTATAATGATGTTGTTGACCATTTACTTTACATTCACTCTAACAGGCAGGTTGTTTTCTCCATGATGGAGTGCATGGCAACGCACCTTAATGAGTTGTAGGAGTCAAGGAATCCATCCGTGTCTGCATCTTTCACTATGGTCCAGTCAAACACCAGGCTTGCTAGAGTGCTGAAGGTGTTTCCTGCACAATCAACAATTTGGGGGTGAGAGACATGGCTAAGCATATGCTCCCATTGCTTGGGATTTGATTTATCGTACATACAAATGTAGATGGTGCAATTTAAGTATCAACATTAAAATATATATATTACACTGCTACATGCAAAACATTGTCCTGTGAATTTGTGTTGAAAGGACTTAAATCCCTGTGGACAAGAAGGCAAATACAGCACACCACTTTGACAAGTCCCTAAAGGTTGCAGTCCTATAAACCCAAACACCAATAATCCTCTTTCAACACAGTATTTCAGCTATTCCATTTGACAGATCTGAGAGTAGTACACATAAAGGCTAAAACAAACAACAAAATGCAGCGCGCCTTAGGGGCCGTCATCAAAGAGAATCAGGTTGGGGCTTCAGCTCATTTAACAGAGTGTGTCTGTGCCTGGCCCAAATGGAACCAGTGAGACAGAACAAAGAGAGACATTTAACCGCTGCCTGAGGACAGGGAAGGCCTGCCGTGGGGGATCACAGTCATCCCTACTGGAAAAGTCATTAAACTGGCTAGTCCACACAACAATACTGTGGATCTCTCTACGCATTATACTTAACGCTGGTAGCACTTTAAAGTTGTTCATATATCTGTAGTAATGCTGTAATTACTCTACTAAGAACATTGTATTAACATGTTGTTGCATAGCAATTTAGTCATTACATTGTAAAAAGTTTACACAAGTGGAATATCAGGACATTGTTGATACAATGGTGATACAATGTTACTACAGTAAGTGCACTGTCACTACATAGGTAGGTATAGAGCAACTAAATGTAAAGTGTTGTGATGACAGTATACCATGACGTAAATGTCTCTGAGCAAAAGACAACTAATGCTACAAGCTGTCCAATAACGCATAACAGTGTATCCTTGAACACTCCTCACCCTCAGAGTCCAGTGAGTGGATCTTCAGTTCCAGTGGTGAGTCCTCCAGATGCAGCTCCCTGGTGGTGGACACTATCTGGATCTCACTGATGATGTCCACGATGGCATCACAGCGCAGTACCTGTCCCGTTACTGAGTACAGGAGAAGGGGACAGTCACACACAGGTAATGCAGCCAGTTATCATAAAAACGCACCAAACCTTAGCAATGAGTGATACAGTCCTCGAGGTGTATTCAATTCAAGAAAGGAAACAGCTCAGAGGTCATGCTGTGATGAGCGATGGGCTACATTCAGTATTACTACACCGTTCTGTGCAGTTTCAACATGACTGTTGTTAGAGAAGTTTATAAGAAAGGCATCTGAAAGGGCCTGTGTTTTAGGCACTTCTAATTACAGCCTGTATCGCCAATGACTGCTCCATGACAAGCCAATAGCTGGAGTAAACATCTGGCTCGCAGTACTATCGCACAATACTATAAAGCAGCGTTTTTCGTTCCTTTTTCTGGGCCCCACAGGGATGCACTTTTTTGTTCTAGCCAAGCACTTACAAACCGGATTAAGCTAATAAAGGGAAATGTTTCAACATATAGTTCATAGGGTCGACTTGAGCAATACACTGAGTAGATTATCTGGTTTTGGCCTATAGACTAAATCACCTCAACTTCCATGGACTGAAGCGTAACAACAAGTCCTTACCATGAACCAGGTTTTCCATCCAACCTTTGTGAGTAAAGCATGTTGAATACAAAATGTCACCACAGACCTAATGGAAACAGCTAATATGCTAGACATGGTGGGAACTTTTTGTGTCTGGAAAATTAATTTTGCGAGAAATGGCAGTTGAAATGCTTTTATGCAAAAATATTTCTATAATAACCATCATATCGAAGTAAACTTAAGAGTCACACGATGACATGTGTGGTCCTCCCACTACAACTTGGGAAAGCATTCAGTTTATTAGATTACAGATTAAATCAATTATGATGAACTTCACAGGGTGGGGAAAGTGCAAGGTGATGAGCTTGATACGCCTTTCCAATAAATAGAGGGCGTTATTCTGTTGATATGATGATCAATGCTTGGCTGCCATTTGACACATTTTTATAATCTCGCTCTTTTGTCCATAATAATGTCATCATGTAGGCTACACCCGCACTGTATCTGTGAGCGGTTGGCTAGAGAGTACATGCCAATAGCATTCACTATATAAAGCAATTTTCTTTGTGACAAAACCATCAGTAGAGTTGAAAATGCGATGGAAACCCATTTAACTAGTATTTTTTATTCGGTACATGGGAATTTAACCGCAAAAGTCATTTTTATGTGCACTACGTCATCACGCATTGACTTTTATCTGCAACTAGTCAATTTGATGGAAACACATCTCTGGTAGGAAAATGCGCATATTTTAAGTATGCGTATTTTAGAATATTCACATGGAAATCTTTCACCATTGGATGGAAACTCATCTATGGAGAGATTAGAGAATAGCCTATGTGAGAATATGCTCTATCTCAATTCTACCCTCATGAACTTCCGGATTAGCAGGTAGGCCCATTTCACCTGTTCATGTTAGTCTCGTTTTATGCTGGTTGACAAGGCCCTCCATGGTTGTTTGACCAAAAGCTTAGCCACAATAAAGACACATTTGCATCTCTCTTCATCCAACAGGTACTGAACTCACCGACATCCTCAGCCAGTATGATGCTGGTGAGTCTGGAAGGCTGGGTGGAGCGGGCCTGGAGGACAGCTCTCTGGGAACACTGTCTGCTGATGTCAACTTCCACAGCCTCGATGCTGGCCACCTCCGGTCTGGTGGAAGACCTAGAGGTATGAAAGGTATTCAGACACTCTCTGGGGACAATTGAAGTTTATACAGTGGCTTGCGAAAATATTCACCCCCCTTGGCATTTTTCCTATTTTGTTGCCTTACAACCTGGAATTAAAATGGATTTTGGGGGGGTTGTATCATTTGATTTACACAACATGCCTACCACTTTGAAGATGCAAAATATTTTTTATTGTGGAACAAACAAGAAATGACTTGAGCGTGCATAACTATTCACCCCCCCAAAGTCAATACTTTGTAGAGCCACATTTTGCAGCAATTACAGCTGCAAGTCTCTTGGGGTATGTCTCTATAAGATTGACACATCTAGCCACTGGGATCTTTGCCCATTCTTCAAGGCAAAACTGCTCCAGCTCCTTCAAGTTGGATGGGCTCCGCTGGTGTACAGCAATCTTTAAGTCATACTACAGATTCTCAGTTGGATTGAGGTCTGGGCTTTGACTAGGCCATTCCAAGACATTTAAATGTTTCCCCTTAAACCACTTGAGTGTTGCTTTAGCAGTATGCTTAGGGTCATTGTCCTGCTGGAAGGTGAACCTCCGTCCCAGTCTCAAATCTCTGGAAGACAAACAGGTTTCCCTCAAGGATTTCCCTGTATTTAGCACCATCCATCATTTCTTCAATTCTGACCAGTTTCCCAGTCCCTGCCGATGAAAAACATCCCCACATCATGATGCTGCCACCACCGTGCTTCACTGTGGGGATGGTGTTCTCGGGGTGATGAGAGGTGTTGGGTTTGTGCCAGACATAGCGTTTTCCTTGATGGCCAAAAAGTTCAATTTTAGTCTCATCTGACCAGGGTACCTTCTTCCATACGTTTGGGGGAGTCTCCCACATGCCTTTTGGCGAACACCAAATGTGTTTGCTTATTTTTTTCTTTAAGCAATGGCTTTTTTCTGGCCACTCTTCCGTAAAGTCCAGCCCTGTGGAGTGTACGGCTTAAAGTGGTCCTATGGACAGATACTCCAATCTCCACTGTGGAGCTTTGCAGCCCCTTCAAGGTTATCTTTGGTCTCTTTGTTGCCTCTCTGATTAATGCCCTCCTTGACTGGTCTGTGAGTTTTGGTGGGTGGACCTCTCTTGGCAGGTTTGTTGTGGTGCCATATTCTTTCAATTTTTTAAATAATGGATTTAATGGTGCTCCGTGGGATGTTCAAAGTTTCTGATATTTTTGTATAACCCAACCCTAATCTGTACTTCTCTACAACTTTGTCCCTGACCTGTTTGGTGAGCTCCTTGTTCTTCATGGTGCCCCTTGCTTAGTGGTGTTGCAGACTCTGGGGCCTTTCAGAACAGGTGTATATATACTGAGATCATGTGACAGATCATGTGACACTTAGATTGCACACAGGTGGACTTTATTTAACTAATTATGTGACTTCTGAATATAATTGGTTGCACCAGATCTTATTTAGGGGCTTCATAGCAAAGGGGGTGAATACATATGCACGCACCACTTTTCCGTTATTTATTTATTCACATTTTTTGAAACAAGTACCTTTTTTCATTCCACTTCACCAATTTGGACTATTTTGTGTATGTCTATTACATGAAATGCAAATAAAAATCCATTTAAATTACAGGTTGTAATGCAACAAAATAGGAAAAACGCCAAAGGGGATGAATACTTTTGCATAGCACTGTAGATAAATAACTTATTATTTATTAAAAACCAAAGCAAAGCAGCACACTCTAGGAGATCAGATGCAATAATTGAATAACCTAATAACCACATGTGAATTAACCAATGCTATCAGGCCACACCCAGCCATGATTACAGACACCTGTGTGTGTGTCCTTTGACACTATATAAACTAGTGAACCCGCAGTGTTTGTCATTATACCCTGATGAAGACAGCTTGTGTGTCGAAACGTTGGTTATTAGGTTATTAAATTATTACATCTGAGCTCCTAGAGTGTGCTGCTCTCCTTTTCTTTTTCAAGTGTTCTACTCCGTTAGCCAGCACCTCGCCTAAACAGGTGTGCGTTTATTTCGCCTCTATAATACTCTTCAGTATAACCTGATGAACATAAAGCGGTCTAATAACGGAGATTAGGCTAAATGTGAGTTAACCCAGAACTGAAGTCTTGCGTAATTGGTCAGATGGTCGATTAAGTTTTGGGTCCATAATTGTTAAGAATAGCGATTGAACAAGGATCGGAATGAAGAGCTCCACACAGCTCCACCCGATCTCTTTGCAAGTTACAGGCAAGTCTGTGCCAAATGTCCCCTCCCATTCCTAAATTGGAAAGATGCTAAAGTGAAATCGTGATTTGTCCAAAGCACTGGAACTAATACTGCTCGTTATCGCATATTTCCCATTGAATCATGACAGATCTACGGTCCCATTTATGTTTACCTAGTCTGTCCACGAGAGATTATATTTTGCCCAAGGACATGTGGTTATCTATCTAATGAAAGGAAATAATTAAATCTGTTTTGACAGGAAATGTCTATGATTGATGAGGCACAGATTCTAAAATTAAAAGCATAAAGTTTATTTCATTTGTATCTCTCTATGCACACTCACGCTCCAACACACACACATAGCATGCACACACATTTAAACTGACTCTACACACACGCTCACACTCACATACAATCTTCATTTAAGCTGCTGCTATTCTTTTTATCATACATCCTGATGCCTATTCACCTTACCCCTATACATACAGTATCTACCTCTATCACTCCAGTATCCATGCACATTGTAAATATGGTATTGGAACTGATCCTGTATATAGCTTCTTAGTTTCTCGCATTCTTCTTATTTCTATTTCTTGTGTGTTTTTGATCTACCTTATGTTATATTTAGTACTACATTGATATTGATTACTGCATTGTTGGGTTTAGAGCTTGCAAGAAAGGCATTTCACTGTAGTTGTGGTCATGACATTAAAACTTGAATTGGTAGGGTCAGCTCTGAATGAGAGTTTGTGAGTCTGTACAGTCTAGCTGGACAACTGGGGGTGTATTCATTCGTCAGATTCCGTTGCAAAACGTTTTGCAACAGAAACCGTTTACTATAGGAACCAAAGGTATTTGCAAACAGTCTAACCGTAAACCTTAGCCATTTTAAATTTCAACTTCAATAGGCTCGGGACATCCCAAGAATCCCGGATAGCACGGACCATTTGTGCAAACAGAAAGAAACGGAGAGGGACCTACCTAAATTTGTCCAATTTTTCGTTTGGAGTAAACCTACTAATGAATATACCCCAGAACATGTGCCACTGACTATCACTAAGAGTGGACACTGGACACCGTTTATGGGGGGCACGTGGCAGGGGCTGGGCTCATGTCCATGTGCATGATCACCAGTATTTTCCAGACAGGGTCATGCCTGTTAGATAATACCCAAGCCACAACTATTGCTTCCATGAATATATTTACTTTCTATCAAATAAAACCATTATTCTGATTTAAGATTTAGCTATATGCCGCAGTGCACAGTAATGACCTAGTATGTAAAATGATACATGCGCGGACCAAGCAACTCTGTTTCCTGGCGGGTAATATTCTAGGAAAGATACCTATCTCTTTCAAGATATTCACTTACCATCTGTAACAGCCTTCAGTTGCCTCCAGTGTGAAGTTAATTCTAGTGCTTCGGGCAAGTGGTAATAAAACTTTGGGGATATTCAACTTTGAGGCACACGTGGTGTGAATTGAACTAGATATCAATAACAAAAACACTGATAGTGAGCTCAGCGCAAAAACCGCCATTTCCGACAGCCAGATTGATTGCAGATATATTATAAAAATAAAAATAAAGCTATTGAAATTGTTAGTGGTTATAGCCTATTACAGTGCAATAATTGTATCATTCTTTGATCCTCAATTAGCATTTCCGACTGTGAGTGATCACCAAGAGGTACGCGTTACATTAAACTAACATTGCTACTGTAACCATTTCCTTCAGCAAATATTCTAACCATTGATAGGCTACTTAGTTTCAATTCCTTATACTAACGGAGAGCCGCGACAGCATGACTATGATAATTTCGCTTGTTCCCCTAAATTTACGCTTTCAATTCAAGTTCCCTACAAAGCTCTTAGATAAAATATACAGTAGACTTTCCCCTAACGTCTAAATTAAGGCAAAATTAATTTAGACAAAAAATATAGTTCACAGGACTTGTAGAAATACCCGCCATTACAAATAATTGGAGCTGCAGCGTGCATGCTGGGAGTCAGTTGACGTCATTTACAAAGTCGAAATGTGAGGCGATGATGACGCTTTGTCTTAAAGATGCAGAGGTCCGCTTTTTGCCGGAACCATTTATGCCTAAACGTTTTATTGTACATGAAGAGCTCTGCTTTAACTCACCAGCATTCCAGCAACATACAGTAGGCTGCCTGTGTCATCACCACCACTTACTAACAACCTACTATGCAGTCACCTATTGGGAAAGACAACTCAGTCAGTGCATTTGCTCATTAGGTGAATTATGCATGCTCCTTATAACAGGGACAAATATGTCCAGGTGTGATCGGGACAGGTTACTATGCCCCTTGTATAGCCTATCTCAAGATATGAAACTACCGGTAGTCTGATACATAGTCCTACTGATAAAAGCATTTATAGTGTGGTTTCAAAACACTGATTGTACTCATGTCTGTGTTTCTCTGGGGAGAGGAAACATTGCCTTGATCTCTGCTTTGATCCCAGATTGCTGAGGATCACTGTAGTACTGCATCATTCCTCAATGTGATTGTTGTTCAGGAGGTCAGCAGGTTTAAACAACTCTCAGCAACCGATTTTCTTCCTTTAACTACCAGCCGCTCTGTCTGAAAGAGAGCGACCCGGCTCTACGTATTTTACTGGTTTGTGACCCACAGACAAAGCCCCCGGTTAGAGGGGAATAAAGTAGCCCAAGAGTTAACACACACACAGGGAACTTGAATTAAACACACTGAGGAAGATGAATATGGGATGTACATGGGGATGAACAGTGGGA